TCATAGGGATGGCCATTTTTATCTAATCCATGGGGTCCGTTCATACCCGTCCGAAAAGGGCAAATTTTATCTAGCCCAACACTTATGTGGGGATGGAGGTGAATTATATTTTGATCACTCTCAACGGGGTGGGGGCGGGTATAATATATATGTGTATATATATATATATATAATATAATTAGATATAAGAAATTAATATTAAAAATCTGTAGTTCTGTTTAAATATAAATAAATAATAATCTTAAAAGTCTCACTGTTTATATATATAGAAAACAAGAAAAATCATTTAATATGTTAAGGATTTAAATCAGATCTGAAGGAAGGAGATGGTTTCGATGTTCCTTCGATCTTTATGTATTCCGATAACGTTGCGAAGAACGACATTACTTCAGTCTCGTTGTCATAGTGGCGGTTCTTTACTGTCCTCATTACCCCAACTAGAGAGAGAGTGAGAGAGTTGTTGTTAAAGAAAATGCGGAGAAGAGTTGTTAGTGGTGATGGAGCGGACGATGAAGCGATGAGCGGTGAGCTGCAGACAGAGGAGTTGAAGGTAAGGGCGAAGGTTAAGGTTTTGGCGGCAGCAATGAAAGGGGAATTGGGGATGGTGAGATCGATATGAACAGATTGTTAATAGAGAGAGAAAGAAAGGATGATGAGGTAAGAGAGAGAGAGAGAGAGTTTTGGGGAAATGGGATTCAACAATGGTGAAGAAATGAGAGGAGGAAGACTTGTGAATCATATTAAAGGTAGTTTGGTCATTTTACATAAAGTTGGCCTTATGGACATAATATTTGAGTACTTGAACTTTTTGGCAAACAAAATATAAATTTGGATTTATGGATCGAATACCCTTTTAACAACTAGGAAATAAGTGAGTTTATTGACTTATTGGCTTATTTGAGATGCATCATCTCTCTATTTTTTTGAATATTTTTTTTTTAAAAAATCCAAAAAATTTAAAAATTAACTTTTTTTCCACTTCCCAAAATAAGCATAAATCCTTTTGTGAACAAATTTTCTCAACTACTCTTTTGCTTACCAATTTGGTAGTTGCAACCACCTCCTCACCTCTTTCCCACACATCACCACTCCCACCGTCATAGAGATGACCATTTTAATCTGATTTGCAAGGTTTGTTCATACCCGCCCGAATAGGGCAGATTTATCCTACGCTACACTTATGTGGGGCAGAGTGGATTATATTTTGATTATCCGTAACAGGGGCCAGTATTGCCTTCTCCGATCCAAACTTGACCCGATATAATTAATAATATATATGTATATATAATATAATTAGACAAAAAAACAAATACTAAAACTCTGTGGTTTTGTTTAAATATAAATAAATAAAAATCCTAAAAGTCTCACTGTTTATATATATGGAAATAAGAAAAATTATTTGATGTGTTACGGATTTAAAGGATTCTCAATTTTTTTGGCTATTTGAAATGTAATTGGGTATTCATGGGGGCGGGGATGGAGTTGAAAAATTTCACCCGTAGCGAGGTTGGGATGGGGACGAGGGTGAGGGATGACAAACTTGGCCCAAACTCGCCTCGTGACCATCCTTACACCGTCACCTCTCTCACCCTCTTCTCCAAATCTTAATAGGAGTATATTTTTTAATAAAAACATTTCTTCTAAAAAAAAATCAAAATTATAAATTCAAAAAAATATTGAGAAATATCAATATATAATCTAAATTTATATTACAAATAAATTCCATAATACACTTATTTAATCTCCACCACACACTCAAATTCTAAGAACAAATCTCAGCTCAAATTCTAAATTCTAAATTTCAAAAGTATGTTAATAAAATTTTCAACATTTTTCAAATATAATTTTAATATAATAATTTCATACAATAATAATAATGCAAAAAAATTTCATTTTAAGTCCATTTGTTTATTACTGTTAGAAATCTTACACATGTTGCGTGATCTAGATTTTTACCAAGACTGTGTTTTGATCTCCATTTATTTGGCCTTTTTCTTCAAGATTTTTGTTGCAGTTCCGATTTGTAGCTCGAAATTCGGAGGCTCGTTTTGGTGTCATTTTTTTTTTCCGCCATTTCTGAAGCTGAAGACGAAGAAAAAGAAGAGAAGAAGAAGAAGAAAAATGCAGAATACACAGAGAGAGAAGACATAATGTAATGCAATGCCGCAGAAGAAGATCTGGTCCACCTTCCTTCATTTATTCTTAAATTAACAATATTTATTGCATTACATTTCCTTCATATTTTAAGCAATTAATTTGACTGGGTTCATCAACAGAATTTTTTTTCCTTCATCTTCAATCCAGATCAACATCAACAATAAAAAAAAAAAAAAATCTGGCTGCTGGGTTCATCAACATCAACAAAAAAAAAAAATTGGTTCTGCAGATCAACAAGAAGATCTGGTTTAACATTTTTTTTTCTTTTTTCTGCGTTTTTCTGCAAATTTTTCATCAACAAATTTTTTCTTTTTTCTCTTCATCATCTTCTGCAGATCCACAGATTTTCATAATGAAAACAAATCCACAAATTTTGATCCACAGATCCAGATCACCATCATCAACATCTTCATCCACAAATTTATTTTTTTTTTCCTTCATTTTCAATCCAAATCAACATCAAGAAAAAAAAAAAAAAATTGGTTGCTGGGTTCATCAATATCAACAAAAAAAAAAATTTGGTTCTGCAAATCGACAACAAGATCTGGATTGAAGATGAAGGAAAAGGAGAAAAAAATTTTTTTTGAAAGATCAACGAAAATTAGAGGATGCCCGAAATGGTCCAAATCTATATAAATTTTGTTATTTTTGGGAATGAATTGGAGATTTGCAGAGATTGGTGAGATCTAGGAGAGAAAAAGATCAACGAGGAAAGAGAGGACCTGGCTATGGCAGCGCAAAGACGACGAGATGGGTAGTTGGTTGTAGAAGTGTCCCCTCCTCTCTTCCTCTTCTCTCTTCTCTCTCTCTCTCCCTTCATCTCTTCTCTCCCTCTGTATTTGAACACAGAGAAAGAAAGAAAGAAAGAAAAGGAAAAAAAAAAAAGACAGCCAAAAACGACGTCGTTTTGGGCTGTCGAGCCATTCGGGCCACAGTAATTTCGAGCTACCACTCATTTTTCATTGGAAAAAGATTGGTAGCTCGAGAAATTGCCTCGAAAAATGGCTCGAAAAAGAAGAGAGGGGAAGAGGAGGAGAGAGGGAGAAAGAGAGAGGAGTGGTCGTCGCAGCTCCCCGCTGTCGCCGCAGCTCCCGCCGTCGTCGCAGCTCCCCTCCAGTCCTCCGTCGCAGCCCCGCCTCTAGCCCCGCCTCCTCCTCCAGCCCGATTTTTATGGCCCCCTCCCCTCTACTTCTCCTTCTTCCTCCTCCTTCCCCCTCCTCCCGATCTGCAGACCCACCCTTCTTCTTCTTCCCCCTTCTTTTTCTTCTTCCTTTTGCAACAAAAACATAGGAAAAAAGAAAAAAAAAAAAAAAAAACAAAACGAACGACGTCGTTTTGGTGTCGAGCCAAATTCGAGCCACCGAATTTCGAGCTACGTAGCGAGGTCGTTTTTCATTTTTGTTTCCTTTCCTTTCCTTTCCTCTCTATCTCTATTCTTGAAAAGAAAAAGCATTCAAACACTCTCATCACTCTTACCTCTCATCTCTCTCTCTCATTGCGAAGGAGAACGCAAAGGACAGACGCTCTCATTGCGAAGGAGAACGCAAAGGACAGACGGACGAACGATTTGTTTATTCTCATCTCCTCTCTATCTCTATTCTTGAAAACAAAAAAGCATTCAAACACTGTCTTGTATGTTTTCTGTTGTCTAAGTAGATGTGCTTTGATGGTGAGCTTTCATAGGTTACTAATGATTGTGGATTGGGAATTTTATGAATGTTATCAATAACTTTTGATAGGTTATTTATTAATTTGGGATTAGTAACATTACTATGCCGATGGTCGGCCGATTAATTGGCGGGCCGAACAACTTTATTGGCCAGTCAGATAATTAATTTGGCCGGCCGGCCACTTTAGCTCAAATTTGTGAGTTGTACATATTCCTACTGAATGCATTTTTTACAAAGTCTGCATGTATAATCAAAGACAGTACATATAACCTCCTCATTAAACCCAAAACGAATATGCAGCAATTAACAAAATTGACCCATCATGCACAATTCAAATATTGCTACAGTGTTATGAACTCAACGCATCATATCGCAAGTGCTGTCATTTTTCACAATCACACCCACTAGCAGCAATAGCGGCAGCATCCTTGCGACACACACAGCAGCAACGACAATACCCTTGCGACACACACGACAACGGAAGCAGCTTGGTCGGCGGCACACAGGTCAACTCCTCTCTCTCTACTCTCTGTTACCCAGTCAATGCTCATCTCCTCTCACTATTTAGCTAGGTTAGTCGGTCTCCTCTCTCTCTACTCTCTGTTCTTTCCTTTTTTTTATTTGAAATGAAATGTGTGGGTGAACAGAGATGGGGCTGTACAAAGAAATGAGGTTGTACAAAGAAATCGGGCCATTCGAGCCTTATTGTATTCGAGCTAGCAAGCGTGATTGAAAGTTTAAGAAAAGAAAAATGTTTGAGGGGCCACAATTTTTGTGGTTTAAATGACTTGAAATTATCAAAACGACGTCGTTTTGGCAATTTCGAAATTGTTTTGTATTCAAAACGATATCGTTTTGACAATTTCGAGCCATTTGAATTACAAAAATTGTGACCCTCAACCATTGCTGAACAAAAATAGAGGAGAGAGAAAATTTCCAAACCACTCAAGCTCAGCTTATTCGAGTTACGGAACATTTTTCTTAAACTTTAAGGATTGTTTGGAAAGTACTAATATAACACATTTTTTTTGTCTTTTTATTTTTTTTTTGGTCACATCATCTCTTTATTTTTTTTATATAATTTTTTTTGTATATAAAAAATCTTAAAAATATATTTACTTAACACTTCCTAAGCAACCACTTAATCTATACCAACTCACTGGATAAGTTTGTAATAGAATAAATTATTGAAAATTATAAAAATATTACAACCACATAATTCTTGCTTGCACATTTTTTTATATAATATATTTAAATTTTATCATAATTTTTCCACCATCCATTGCTCAATTAACACTAGCCATCTGCACGGACAAAATAGGACAGACATAGCATCATTAGCTCATGCACGTCGAGCTATAACCTGCTTGTTTTTACCTCATCAATGAGCTCATGTAATGTCCGCCACGACGACCCACCTTCCTCCACCGCCTTGACGGCGGCGCCACCCACCTCCTTCACCTTCTTCCTCGCCTCCTTCCCCATCTCCCCCACCATCAACTCTTCCACCGTCTTCTTCAAACCTTCCCACTTCACAAACCCTCTGACCGACCCATTCCATGTCTCCACCCTCAACCCCACCTTCATCTCCTCCACCACCATCCTCGCATTCAGGTGCTGGTCCGCCATCATCGGCCACCCCAGTATTGGAACCTTCGCGCATATACTCTCCAACACTGAGTTCCAACCACAGTGACTCAGAAACCCTTGAACGCTCTCGTGCTCGAGTATCTCTCTCTGGTTCACCCACTCTCTCACCACCATTCCTCTCTCTTTCACTCTCTCTTCAAACCCATCACCAACACCAAGTTCGGATTCATTCCTCCTCACAACCCACAAGAAATTCACTTCCGATTTTTCCAACCCAATTTTGATCTCACTGAACTGTTCTGGTGATATCTCTGCTTGAGACCCAAATGCAATGTAGAGAACAGAGCATCCCTGAGCCCGCTTTTGGTCCAGCCACCGCACCCACGGTGGTTTCCGGTGGGGTTCGAGTTCGACCCGTGGTGGCTCAGCCAAGCAGAGAGGTCCAACGCACCAGGCTTTGGGCGCACAATTTCGATTCCAGTGGTCTAAGTACAGAGGCTCTAGATTATAAAAACTGTTCACGATAAGCCCGTAGCTTCTCGATGTGGCTAAAAATTGCTCCATAAGGAAATCAGATTCAGGGGTTTCTTGCTGATTTCGATCACTCATCACTGGTTCGAAGTCGTTTTTCGTGAGCTTTATCCATGGAAAATTGGTCACCGAAAAGGGTTCATCGTCCGACTCTGTTTCCAAAAGAAGCCGATTCGCAATGACGTCGTGACACAAGGACATTGCGTGGTTGCTCATGCCGTAGAATACAAGCCGAGGGATTCGGAATTTGGAAGCCGATTGGAGGGTCCAGGGAAGGAACCCATCGGAGACGATGAAAGTGACTTTGGGGAGAGCTTGTAAGGCTTTTTCGAAGTGGGGTTTGATTAGATTTGTGGCGGCGGTGAAAGTGGAGAAGAGGGAAATTGAAGGGAGTTTGTCGGTGCTTTCGACGCCGGAGGGGAGACCGGGGATGTTATCGGGGAAAGGGAGGGCGATGATGGAAGCGGCGGTGTCGGAGAGAGAGGCGGCGATGAAGGGGCGGTTGGCGGTGGTGGTGAAGATGGTGACGGAGGAGCCGTGGCGGAGGAGGAGGAGGCGGGAGAGGCTGAGGATTGGGATGGTGTGGCCTTTTGACATGAATGGAAACAGAACGACATGAATTGGATCAATAGCCATCTGTGTGTCTTGTCTGTCTATGCAAAAATGAAACACGTCCAATGGTATTTATAGATGGAGAAACTAGGAATGGCAACGGAGTGGGGCGGGACCGGGGATCGCCTTTTCCATTTTCAATCCTCGATGGTAGAAATTTTTTCAGCCCCGATCCCGATCCCCGACGGGAAAGCTATCACTGGCCTCGCCCCCGCCCCCGCCCCCGCCCCCTAACGGGGATCGAGTTTCTCCGACCCCAAAAATTCCCTAACCTTTTTTTTTGCCCCCGCCCCCGCCTCCTAACGGGGATCGGGTTTCTCCGACCCCGGAAATTCCCCGACCATAAAAAAAAAAAAATCAATCCCAAATCTGGTTCAAATTTCAGTCCCAAAAATTTCAATCCCAAAAAAATTTCAACCACAGATTCATATTCAACAACAACAAACAAGATCAGATCATCATCATCAACAGATTTAAATTAAAAAAAATATAATCTGAAAACCTAACAGATCTAAATTAAAAAAAATAATCAGCTGATTTAAATTAAAAAAAAATCTAATAGATCTAACAGATTCATCATCATAATCTGAAAATCTCAAGATCTGAGTACAGGGAGAGGCTGCGGCGAGGTCGACTGTGAGAGGTTGTGGCGAGAATGAGCCATAGGTGAGTTGCAGCCGCGATGCCGGTGCTAAAGTGAGGATGAGCCGTCGCCGTCGCCGTCGTATGTGTGAGAGAGAGTGGGACGATTGGCGGTGGAGGAGCACAGCAGCGGTGAGGGAGGAGTGTCGGTGAGAGTAAGAGTTGAGAGTGAGATCGACGGTGGCTGTGCTGTGAGAGACAGAGAAGAACGAGAGGCTACTGCTGTAAAAGGGAGAGAGTTGAGAGAGAGAAAGAAAGAAGGACGAGAGTAAGAGTGAGAGTGAGAGTGAGAGTGAGAGTGAGAGTGAGAGAGTGACGCACGGTTTAGGGTTTGGTTTATTATATATATATATATAAGGGGTATAAAAGTAATTTAATTTCGGAGAAATTCGGGGACGGAGCCGGGTCGGGGCTTGAACACTGATCACCGTCCCCGGCCCAAAACAGATCGGGGATTGATTTTCAAATACCGTCCCCTCCCCGTCGGAGGTATTTTTCAAGAAAAAACCGCTTAAATCGGGGTCGGAATCGGAGATTCCCGTCGGGTCGATTTCAAATTGTCATCCCTAGGAGAAACACTATTCACAACAGAAAAACTATGGAGTCCCTCCCGTCCAAGAGAGATTTGTATGCAGACAGATATATCGGTGGTGTCTTCTATTATTGTTATTAGTGGAAGCTAATTGAATAGGGGATATATTGTTAGGTATTTTGGAATAATAGGGGTGTATATTATCATGTGCTATCTTATTGGTATATAAAATCTTTTCCATCTGAAAGAGATTTGTACCGGATGGGTTGTTTCCTATTTTGTTTCTTTCTATTTTCGTGTCTTACTCATCTTGATTAGGTATTCCGCATGGGCAACAACTTGCCAAAGATCTTGATCTAACTAGTGGAAGACTTTGGACTAAGTTGTGAGCTACTGCATTGAAACATCTTATAATGTTATGTCTATTGTGATGTTTGTATTTTTTGTCATGTTCATTTTCTTTTTCTTTTCTAAACTTTTTTTCCCTTTTAAGATTTCACACAGGAAGATTAATGAGGAATGCAACTTCATAGTGAATTTTAATTTTCTCAAGTAGAATTTCATTGTTTTTGGTAGTACTTGTATGTCCTTTGGCCTAAAATGTAAAACCAGTTTGACAACATGTTTCAGGATGAAGATTGTATTGCTATGGCTTCCCTCCTTTGTTCCGAATCAAACAGAAATGGTGTTTTCAAAGGTGCTATTAGAGAAAATGTACAAATTAGAGATTGTTTGATTGTGCTAGAAATTGCTAGTTAAGTGTGCTTGTTATGTAATATAACTGTTTGTGAGTACTTGTTTGTAATATATAACTACTGAATTCACCCAAAAAATATATAACTACTGTTTGCGAGGAAATTGTTGGAGTATTATCCTGTCTTGTTTACTGTCAAAATATAAAAATGAAGTAGAGTTTGTGGCTCTAAATTTACCCGGTTTAAGCAGATTTACGTGTTTGGTATGGGAGGCCAGCCACTTCAACTAGGAGGAACGTGGCATTTGAGTTTACAATATATATTTTATTTTTCATATAGGTTGCATGCATGATACATCACGTATTCACCATGCATTAATAGTTTTGAGTGGTGGAGATATACATAAAAGAAAAATTGAACAAATTTTTTTGTATAGAGTGATGTGGCCAGTGGCGGAGCCAAGAATTTAATATAGAGGGACACCTATTAATTATAAAATCAAAATTTTTCTTTCCCAATCAATAACAATAACATAATAATAATTTTTCGAGCTAATATTAAACATTAGAAATTAATATTCATTACAAAAAGTTTTTAATTTTAAACTTTTACAATTGACCCCCGACGATTTTTCAAATCAAAATTTCTAATTTTAGCACAAATTATAACAAATCAAAATCTCTAATTTAAATATTAATCACTGCAAATTAACATTTTTAATTTTAACACAAATAAAATCCCTAATTTTAGCACAAACAACAAACCAAAATTCCTAATTTTAATATAAATCACTACCAATTAAGATTCATAATTTTAGCATATCAAAATCTCTTATTTTAACATAAATAATAACAAATAAAAAAATTTACAAATCAAAACTTAACAAATAACTATAAATTAATACTCATAATTTTTATTTAAAAGTAAAAATAAAGTTACCTGTAAACAATGAAGAGAAGATACCAAGATTGTAGTATGATTCCAAATCTGTGTTGTGTGATTTTAATTTGGTGAATCACGAGTTGATAAATTACAAAGCAACAAAGGGAGAAAAAAATATGAAGATAGTTAACAAGGAATAAATAAAAAAAAATAAAGAATTTCATATACTTTTAGGGTTTTAGAGTTTTAACCTTGCAACCCTAATAAAAAATAGGAATAGGAATGGCAATGGGGTGGGGCTAGGGATCACCCTCCCCGTCCCCGATCCCCGAAACTACAAATATCCCCGTCCTCAGCCCCGATCCCCGACGGGGAACCCCTCAACCCCCAGCCGCGCCCCCAATGGGGATCGGGTTTCCCCGACCCCGGAAAATCCCCGTAACATCATCAATCATCAACATCATTTTCTCAGATCTGTTTAGCTCTCTCTCAATAACAAATCATCATCAACAACATCATCGATCATCAAACAACATCATTTTCATCAACAAAAATATCATCAACGGCAACATCATAAAAAATATATATATATAAATAGAGACAGATCTGGCGGTGGCGTGGCGGGATCTTCTCAGATCTGCTGTGGCAGAGGGAGGAGGAGGCGACGGAGGAGACGAGAGACAACGCCGACGGAGGAGGAGGCGAGAGGCGACGGAGCCGACGGAGTCGGTGGAGGAGAGACTGACTGAGTGAGAGGGATGA